GCGTCCAGGGAGGTCTGCAGCGAGTCCACCACCCGCAGGTGGTTGCGCTTGGCCTGCTCCATCTCCTCGTCCTTCTCTGCCAGCTTGCGCTCAATCTCTGCCTTGATCTGGTTGAACTCCAGCTGGGCCCGGAGGATCTTGCCCTCCTCGTGCTCCAGGGAGGCCTGGAGGGTGGGGAGAGGGGGTCGGGGCAGACAGGGCACAGGGCAGGGCGTGGGAGGGAGCCTGGGAGGATGCAGGCTGTCAGCCAGGGCTATGGCCCTGAGAAGAAGAGCTGGGAAGAGATGGGGAGGTGGGACCTGCACCCCATGCCCACCAAGGTGTTGTAGGGGAGGCAGTGCCAGACTCTCTGGGCTTCCTTTGTCAAGGAAAGTGTTTGGACCCTCCAGCACTAACATTGCATAAGTTCTTGACACAACTAAAATATTATAGAAAAAGGAAAGATTTTTATAAACCACAAATTCAAAATTTATATTCCTTTCCCAGGCCTCTCACCCTTTAGTGAGAAAAGTTAGAAGCCAAAAACTCAGGGCTATTCCCAGGTGCTTAAAAATGAACAGTAGCAATAGCTAACATGTATTAAGTGCTTAAGTGTGTTACCTCATTTAATCTTCATAATAATCATGTATAAAATCTTATGAGGTATGTGAAATTACTCCTATTTCACAGATGAGAAAACTGAGGCAGAGACAGTTCAAGGATCTTGTCCAGTAACACATCAGAGGTCTGCAAGCCGAGTTTGAAACTGAAGTCTGTTTGACTCTGGAGCCCACGCTCCTACCCATTGTCTGAGGAGTTATTATAAGGGCCAGATTCCAATTTTAAAAACCTGGTGAGGAAAAAAGAACTTCTGGCCTATAATCAGACTGTGACATTTTCCTTTTCGCAGGCCTTGGCTTTGGAGGTAGTCATGGGTAGTGGGTAGATGATTTTGGATGGCAAAGAATATGGAACTAATAGATTTTGTCTTGGGGTGGGGACCATGGGACCATGCCCAGGCGAGGGAGGGGTGGGAGGCAGTGCCAGACCCTTACCTCGGCCTCCTCCAGGGCTGACTGCAGCTCCATTTTCTCCGCCTCCAGCTGCTTTCGGACCTTCTCCAGCTCGTGCACATTCTTTCCTCTTTCTCCCAGCTGCTCAGTGAGGTCCAAGATTTCCTCTGGGGATCAGAGGGCCAGAAGCTCAAAGCCTTTCCCAACACGGGCCTCCCTGACACTGGCCCCTCCCCAGCCTCTCAGGCCCCCAGCGCACCCTGAAGGTTCTTGTTCTCCCGCTTGAAGGTCTCCAGGTGCTCCAGGGACTCCTCATAGGCGTTCTTGAGCTTGAAGAGCTCGGTGCTGAGGGAGCGCGCCTCCTTCTGCGACGACTCCAGCTCTGACTGCGACTCTTCGTACTTCTGCTTCCACTCGGCCAGGATCTGCCCCGGGAAGAGGCTCACTGTGCACCAGCCCCCAGTCCCCAGCCTCAGCCCCACCTCCAGGGGCTGTCCCAGGCCACCCCATTCCCCCAGGGCTCAGCCCTCCTCCCCTGCCTCCAAGGAGGACGACTCTGGCCTCGCACTGAGGTCCCCCACCAGCCCTGCACACTGGCTGTGGCCCCCACCCACGGCCCACCTTGTCGAAGTTCCTCTGCTTCTTGTCCAGGGCCGCAGCGGCGGCGTTGGAGCGCTCCACGTCCACCATCAGGTCCTCGATCTCGTTTTGCAGCCGGTGCTTGGTTTTCTCCAGCGAAGAGCACTTGGCGTTGACGGCCTCCACGGCCTCCTCGGCGTCCTGGAGCCGCTGCGCCAGCTTCTTCCTGCCGGGGGTGGGTGGGGTGTGTGTGTGACTCTACTTGGCAGCAGTGGGGCCTTGGGTCGACCTTCCCTCCACCGACTGTCAATGGGGAGGAAGCACCCCCTTCCCATAGCTCCTTGGGATGCTAGAAGCCCTGCCTTGAGGGAGCCAAGGTGGCTGGTCCTAGAACAGAGTCCCCAAGCACTGGCTGCCCAGGTGTCCTCCCTACATGCAGTGGCATCTGGGTGCTAGTGTCCCCCGCTCTCCCACACCAGGCTGATCGACGGTAGCTCCTCTGACCAACAAGCTTTTTGCTCGTCTTATACGTGAGTGTCAGGTATAACCCGGGCCAAAAGCTCGCCCGTCATAGGAAGTGGGTTGGGGCCAGAAAGGGTTCACAGAGTGCAGGATCCAGGCTTTCTTTCACCACTTCTGTTGCCACCAAGTCTTTCCCACCTCCTTCCCATGACAACTCTACCCGTCCCCACCCCAGGTCCTCTCGCTCCTTCCTCTCTGAGAATTGGGATGGGCCCATCTGGAGCTCACTTGGCCTCTTCGAGCTCCTCGGTCCGCTGGATGGCATCCGTCTCGTACTTGGTCCTCCACTGGGCCACCTCCGAGTTGGCCTTGGACAGGACGCGCTGCAGCTCGGCCTTGGCCTCCGTCTCCTCCTCGTACTGCTCCCGCAGCAGGTCACAGTCATGCCGGGCTGACTGCAGTGCGTGGGCCAGGGCGTTCTTCGCCTGGGGGGAGGCGGGCACCGGGAGGTAGAAGGGAATCCCTGTCCCCTCATTCTCTAGATCCTTCTCAAATCTATTTACTTCAACCAAGCCCAGCCTCACACAGCGTGAGGGCTGATATGGCATCTCAGTGTCTTTGAGTAACTTCCCAGTTTGCCCACCCCACCTCCTTACGAATAAGGAAAGAGGCATTAAATGACTTTTGGGTGTCACTTAGCTGCAGGGTAGAAGAACCCAGATTAGAAGGTCTTCTCTTAGAGGCCTCTCTCCAGCTCCAGGCTCCACTTCTGCCATGGAGGTTAACTGCTCTGGGGCTGCCCTCAAGCCTGGCCTGCTGCCCTCGCTCGCCTCACCTTGCCCTCCTCCTCCAGCTGCCTCTTGAGGTCCTCCAGCTGCTGGGTGTAGGACAGCTTCCCTCGGGTCAGCTGGGAAATCAGCGCTTCCTTCTCCTCCAGTTGCCGGGCCAGCTCTCCTGGAGGCGGAATGGGGGGCTGATGGGCCCTGGAAGGGGCAAGTAATGCTCTACTCTGGGCAGGCAGGGGCTGGTTAGGGGTACCCACCGTTCTCGGTCTGCAGCTTGGCTCGCTGGGTGGTGAAGTCGTTGAGGGAGCGCTGGGCCTCATCTAGCTTCATGCGGTACTCATTGGCCTGGTCCTCCAGCGTCCGAGACACTTTCTCCAGGTTTGCCTTCAGGCAGCAATGGACATGGAAGGGTGAGTGTGGGAGGGGATGGGTGGACCAGAGGAAGGAAGAGAGGGCTGAGGTGGGGAGGGCATAGAGGGCAGGAGGGTGACGGGGCAGGGTAGGAGGGTGCAATCCGAGGAGGGATGTGGAGACAGATGTGAAGGCCAGGGAAGGGGCAGGGCAGAGAGAAAGAGAGACCAAGGGCTGATGAAGGCAGTGAGAATGACAAGGGAGATGGCAGGTAGAGAGAGAAGGTGCAGGGAAGGCGCAGCTGTGTGGAGGAAGAGGACGAGGCAAGGCTGAGCAGAGCCCACCTTGGCCTTGATGATCTGCTCCATGTTGGAGGTGACGTCGTCCAGCTCCAGCTTGAACTCGCTCTTCTCCTTCTCCAGCTTCTGCTTCACCCGCTGCAGGTTGTCGATCTGCTCGCCCAGCTCGGCCACGCTGTCCGCGTGCTTCTTGCGCAGGGCCGCGGCCGTGGCCTCGTGCTGCAGCGTGGCCTCCTCCAGGTCCCGCCGCATCTTCTGGAACTCGGCCTCACGCTTCTTGTTCATCTCGATCTGCACGGACGTGGCCCCGCCGGCCTCCTCCAGCCGCTCGCTGATCTCCTCCAGCTCCCGGGACAGGTCTGAGCGCAGCTTCTCCACCTTGGCCCTGGCGGTGCGCTCGGCTTCCAGCTCCTCCTCCAGCTCCTCGATGCGTGCCTGGGCCGGACACAGAGGGCTCAGACCCACCGCCTGGACCCCTGCGCCAGAGCCCCCACCCCTGGGCTCTAAAAGGCTCCCAAGCACTCAGGTCCCTCTTGAGCAGTGGTTCTCAGCTAGGGGCAATTCTACAGCCCAGGAAACAGTTGGCAAACTCTGGAGTTATTTTTGATAGTCATGACTTGGTCGGGGGGTTGCTACTGGTATCTCATGAGTACAGGCTAGGGATGCTGCTAAACATTCTATAACACACAGGCCATCAACAGGAATTTGGTAGAAGCCGAACCTTCAAGGCATTTCCTGAGGGTCTCCCAGACCTAGTCTGAGCATCTGCAGCCCTGAATCCTGAGAATCTGTATCCAGAGGAGGATCCTGAGATTCTGTGCAATCATGAATCTCAAAGCGTGCACAGATTCACTAGGCTCTGCTCTGCTACCCATAAGACAAGAAAGTAGGTGCTTGTATTTTAAAAATATTTGCAACAGTATGCCTTGAAACAATCAATTCTTTTGTAATTTTCTGAGTTAACCGTGAAGTTCAATCAACCATATTCCTCATTCTCCAGGGCTTGCCTTATGTATGACCAGGGCTGAGTTCCAGCTTTATTGCTCTCTTCCAGGTGAGTGCTAGCAAGGTGCCCTCTTCTTCATCATGCCCCTTACCTCATTTTTCTGGCCTTAACCTTGGTCTTGACTAAATTGGGAAAATGTCCCATCTACCATTTTCATCTGTTGTCTGGCTAGCCAGGGTCAAAGGGGAGGCTTGGTGGGACTCCTTTCATCTGGGGTTATGGACAGCTTTAATGGACAGTGCCTGGGTAGTCCTGGCAGCAGGACAGAGAGGACCACCATGTTCTGCTCCCAGGATGGAGAAGGTGGGACTTCCAGCCACCTTGGGCAGGAAGAGGGAGGAGCCACAGCCCATTGCCAAGACCTGGTAAAGATAACAGCACTGTGGTTCTGAGTCCAAGAGGCCAAAGAAGTTGCCCAGATCTAGGATAGAAGAACCTTAGGATAACCCAATAGTCTAGCTAAAACCCAGAGAGGGCATCCAAGAAGACAGGAGGGCAAATTATTATTAAAGGCAGGCCCTGGGCAGCCCCAGAGGAGTAGAACTGTGTTCACATGTTACCAGCAGCCTGAGCCATGGGCTCCAAGTACTGAGGGGAGACCAGCTCTTTCTACTGGCCACAGTATGCTCAGAAAATGAAAGGACAAAGTTCTGCCCCAGTAGCTGAGTGCTTGTTGCCCTTGGGGTCACTATGTCCAGACTTGCCCATGTAGCTTCTGTGGCTATAAAATGGGGATGACAGTACTTGCTTTACTTCCAGGGCTCTTATGACAAACCTGAGACTAAAAGCACATTAAGGTACACTAATTGTAAGGGAGACTGTGGCTGTGTGTTTAATCTTGTCCTGCAGAGGGAATGAGAAGGCCTTGGGGAAGACAAAAGAATACCTAAATGACATTTATATAGAATTTTCTAGTTGACAAAGTGGTTTCATATACATTATTGCCTCCGGTCCTGTAAGGCAGGTATTGTCAGTCCCATTTTACAGATGAGAAGGGAATCTGAGGATCAGGGAGGGTAAGTGACTTGCTCGAGGTTGTAGGAGTTGATTCACATCATGGGTGCCCTATGGGGACTTAGCCTGGGTTAGTGACTGCGGTTAGTACCAGGAAGGGTATGAACAGAGCAGCCCATAGGAAGGTGATCCATGAGTGGTTTTTTCACAACCCCATACAGAGGGAAGAAGTACCAAAGAGAGGGTTAGAGGAGAATCGAGCCCCATCATTTGTTCCAGAGCAGAAAGTCCCTGAGGCAGAGCATATCTTAGGAAGAGAAGCCCTTCTAGTGGGTATGATTTCCACCCCCGCAAAATAGTTTTGCTAAAATAACACATTCTTGCTCTACTAGGGTAAGGCTGGTGTTCCTGGGAGCCTGTGAATTGAGGGTGGTTGGGTCTATGGGAGTGCCTGGAGTTCCAGATACTCTCTAGAACCTTGAGCAGCTCCAAAGCCTCAGCCACCTCAGGGCCATTGAGTTCCCCCTTGGCTGCTCTGGGAAGAAAGTCACCTGGTTTTCCTTCAGTTTCTTCTGCAGCTGAAGGGCCAGTGCCTGCTCATCCTCAATCTTACTGTTCTGCTGATTAATGTCAAACTCCTTCCTGGAGGAGAAGGGTGGGGGTTGGGGGTGACAGGTGGTCTTTCTTCCTCTGGGCACATTCTCTTCTTCTGCCTTAGCATCCCAGAACCAGCTCCCTCCCCCTGGCCCAGAGAGTGAAGGGGGAGGGCTGTGGTTCCCTCATTCCCAATGTGCCCAAGGCAACCATGGCCACTGGAGGCACAGCACCCTGGGCTCTCTCCACCAGGCCAGCCCCTCCGGGCCACCACAGGCTCCTACTTCTTGAGCTTTTCTTCCAGCTGCAGCTTGTCATTCTCCAGGTCCATGATGCTCTCCTGGGTCAGCTTTAGGTCACCCTCTAGCTTCCTCTTTGCTCGCTCCAGGTCCATGCGCACCTTTTTCTCCTGCTCCAGGGACCCCTCCAGCTGATGGAGAGAAGAAAATGAGTGAAGTGTAGAAAACATGAAATCCACAGTACACGCTCTTCTGGTCCCTTCTTAACTCGAAGTCCAGTGGGATTGGAAGTCAAACCAGCAGAGAAATTCTGCAACTGTAAATGACTCAGAGACCCAACCTAGTGAGGAACTGAAGAGAGAAAGAAAGCTCCAGGGACCAAAGAAGTTAGTTCTAGAGATCAGGACCAATGGTGTTCCCTGCAAAACCTTGAGAGAGGAAGCATGGTTCTTACTACTCACATCATCCACTTGCTGCTCCAGCTTGACCTTAGACTTGCTCAGGCTGTTGACCTTGTCCTCTTCAGCCTGAAGGTCATCTAGGGCCTGCTGGTGGGCCTCTTGCAGAGCTTTCTTCTCCTTGGTCAGCTTGGCGATGACCTCATCCAGCCCAGCCATCTCCTCTGTCAGGTTCTTCACCTGTGACCAAGAACCCCACCCTCTTTAGGGTCAAAGTTCATCATCCTGGAGCCCTTCATGTCAAGGACCAGGACCACACTCTGGCCTGGGAATCCTGGGGAGACCTGGGCTGGAGCCAGAGGCAGCTGCCCTCACCTTGTTCTCTGTTGCGTGCTTCTCTTTCTCCACCTTGGCCAGTGTCAGCTCCAGGTCATCAATGTCCTTTTTGAGCTCAGAGCACTCATCTTCCAGCTTGCGCTTCTTGGCAGTGAGCTCAGCGTTCATCTCCTCCTCGTCTTCCAGCCTCTCGTTCATCTCCTTCACCTTGGCCTCCAGCTGGATCTTGTTCTTGATGAGCTGGTCACAGCGCTCCTCAGCATCATTGAGGTTGTCTTGTTCCTGGAAGAAGAGTACAGGGAGGAAGCTGATGATTAAAGAGAGGAGAGACCCAGCATCTTAAAGAGAGCAGGCACTCCTAGACACTCAGTGCCTGGTTGTGAGATGGGCTATAATCTAGGAGAGGGGAGGGGAGAGCTGAAGAGATCATCACATGGCCTCACCGCCTGCACTTGGAGCTGCAGGTCATTCTTCTCCTGCAGCAGGGACACCATCTTCTCCTCCAGCTCCTTGCGGCGAGCCTCAGACTTCTCCAGTGACTCTTTGATGCGCCCGAATTCCTCCTTCATGTTGGCCATCTCCTTCTCCGTCTCTGCGCTCTTTAGCAACGGCTTGATCTTGAAGTAGAGTTTCATCCAGGGCCAATTCTTGACCCCCATGAAGGCCCGAATGTTCCACTGGATTACCAGCAGGGCATCCCTGACAAGGAAACATGGTGGCAGGGAGGGACACTATGTTAGAACACTTCCCAATCATGGACCCAACTGCACTTGGCTTCCCCCATCTAAGCAAGTTTGTAGGCACTACGAGCCCCTTCTTGTAGCCTTGCCCTTTGCATACACTCCTATTCCCAACATCCCTACACTGAACATGGAGTTGTTCAATAGGTATTTATTAATTAATCAATGAAAGGAATGTTTATATCTTCCCTATTGGCATGTTAGTAGTAATGGAAGCTACCACTTATAGATTGTTTACCACCTTCAGTGTTTCTTTTCTCATAAGAACCTCAGTATGTTAAAAATTATGTAGTGTTTTACATATAGGAATATCTATAATATATATGTAGGTTATGAAGCATGAAAACAAAATGGCTACCCATGAATTTACCACCCCAAACAAAAGCACCAATCACTGGATCTACCTATGGCTCCTCCCTAGACCCTTCCCTGGTCCCCCCACTGGAAGCAGCCACTACTCTGAACCTTGTTTTTCCTTTCTTTACTTTTTTGAAAAAAAACTTTAACTGTATACGTATGTATCTTTAAAAATGTAGTGGTGGTTTTTATTATTATACTTCTGAAGTTTATAAAATTGCATCATACTGTATGTATCCTTCTGTGATTTGCTTTTGTTCACTCAACAATATGCTTTTCACGTTCAAACACAGGAATCGGGTTTCCCTCTTTTTCATTGCTGTATAATATTCCACCAAATGACTATAATACTATTTATCTGTTCTCCTGTGGATGGAAATTTGGGTTGTTTCCAGATCTTTGCTATTATGACCAACACTGCTAGGAAGATTCTTTTTCATTTCAAGGTACACACGTGTAGGAGTTTCTCTATAGGAATACACTCAGGAGCAAAATTGAAAAGTATACAGTTGTTCAACTTTAACAAATAATGATAAATTGTTTTTCAAAGAGGTTGCACTAATTTACACACCTGTAAGCAATGGGTCAGACCTCTTAATTTTTGTCAATCTAGTCTTTTAAAATGGTATCTCACTGGAGTCTTAACTTGTATTCCCCTATAGGGAATTTTCTTTTTTTAAAAAAGAGTTCAAAATGGACCCAGAGTGGCAAAGTAACTTGGCCAGGCCAGCTAGTCAGTGGTGGAGCCTGGATCTGGAGCCAGGTCTTCTGACCCGCAATAGTTGGTGCTTCTTGTTCGCCTCTCATATCTCTGAGGCAACTCTCCCTTCCCCCTTGCCTCACCTGCGTTCCAGGATCTTCTTGAACTCGATGCGCATGAGCTGGCCCCGGGACTGGGCCTGGATGCGCGTGATGATGCGGCTCAGCCTCTCGTCCCGCATCTCCTCCAGTAGCCCCAGCAGCCCCGCCTTGAAGAACACCTGCAGGGAAGTGTGCGCTGGGCCTGGGGTGCTAGGTAGGGGTGGCGGGGGGCATGTTGGGAAGGGCGACTACTAGGACAGGCTTGGAGGGAGGAGGTACATGGCAGCGGGAGCTGGGGTGAGGGCAGTGGTGCTGGGTGTCCCACTGGGAGGGGTAGCACGGGGGGCAGAGATGTTGCCAAGCCGACTGGTGAAAGGAAAGGAGTCAGGAGGTGAGGGGTCAACGGACAAGAGACGTCTTCCTCTAACTGATTTGTCCCCTCCCTGTCCTCACCTTGGTGTGGCCGAACTTGTACTGGTTGTGGTCAATATCCAGGGAGCTCAGCAGCTTCTCTGCCCCCTTCCTGCTGTCAATGAACTGCCCTTCGGGGATGGCCGCTGGGTTCAGGATGCGATACCTGGGGAGCGGAGTGCCGGAGTCACCCACGCTCTGCACTGATCTCTGCCCGCAGAATGCCAGGGCCACCGGCAGACTCCCTTTCCCTTCAGAGCAGCCCAGGCTGCCCTGGTTCCCTGAGCTCTGGGGAAGCCCCGTACCCACCTCTGCCGGAAGTCCCCGTAGAGGATGCGGTTGGGGAAGCCCTTCCTGCAGATGCGGATGCCCTCCAGCACGCCGTTGCAGCGCAGCTGGTGCATGACCAGGGGGTTGTCCATCACCCCTGCGGTGGGAGGGGAGGGCAGGGGTTAGCTTTAGGGCGAGTGATGCCAGGCGTCCTCCCCAGACTGTGGCCTTCCCCTCAGCTCACCCGGAGCCTTCCGTTCATTGGGGATGATGCAGCGCACAAAGTGAGGGTGGGTGGTCCTCAGGTTGGTCATTAGCTTGTTGAGATTCTCCTGGGGGTGAATGAAAGGGAGTTAGGGCCACAAGGACCATCCCTTACGTCCCTGAGCCCTGGGCCCCAGCCACCCTGTCAACCGAACCATCAAAGGGCCAGGGGCTTGACACATAATTTATGATGTGAGTTCAGGCTTGTGTAGAAGCTACACACCAGAAACCACCACATAGCTCTGGCCTCTTCCCTCCCCAGACTCAGAGCATTGGGACAGGGCGGTGCAGCCAAGAGGTCCGAGCCAGGCCTGCCCCACAGGCGCCCTGGCTGCTCTGGGCCCTGCTTACCCGGTGGAGAGCTGACACTGTTTGGAAGGATGAGCCCTTTTTCTTGCCTCCTTTGCTTTTACCACTATCTGCTAAAAACAGGAGAAGGAAAAATGAATGAGAGTTTGAAAACAGAGAAACCCTCAGGCCGAGGAAGGGCTCCGCAGCTCAGAAGCTGTGTGACGTTGGGCAAGTTATTCCCCAAGTCAGTCTCAGTTTTCCATGAGGATGACAGCATTAACAGAAGTTGTGAAGAGCATTAGATAAGATCAAGATGCGAGGCAGCTCACTGACACTTGCTGCGCAGTGGGCACTGAAATAATGCTAGTGCCCCAGCCCCACCCTTCTTTCTTATATCTTTCCCCTTTCTGCTTTTCTTCTCATACTATATCCTCTTCATTTCAACCCACACCCTTCTCTTCCTTCTCTGGATTGGAGGCTCATTTGTTCAGTGGTTCTCTCCATGTTTATTGAGGACTCCTGCATGCGCTGCTCCACACTGGGCATGCTCCAGTGGGGCGTGCACCACTCTCACCAACCTCCAGTTGCTCACAGTCTTGAGGAAACACCGCCATCCGCAACACGAAGTGGAAAGTGGCAGGTACAGAGGGACTGCTGCGGGCTGACTCCTGGGCTCCCCCCGCCTCTGGAGTCACGGGCTTTGAAGCAGCAGGACCCTGACCCTCGCACCTCCAGAAGCCCCTGGCCCAGTGTAGGGGCTGCCCCCTTACCACTATCGGCGGAAGCATAGGTGGAGAAGAGCGTGGCCATGAGCTTGAGGGAGGACTTCTGGTACAAGCCCACCACCGTCTCGTTGAGAGGGTCTTTGTTCTTTTCCAGCCAGCCCAGGATGTTGTAGTCCACAGTGCCAGCATAGTGCACCAAGGAGAAGTGGGCTTCCGGCTTCCCCTTGATGTTTCGTGGCTTCTGGAAGTTGTTGGACTTGCCCAGGTGGTTGTCATACAGCTTGGCTTTGAAGGTCATGTCAGTGGCCTTGGGGAACATGCACTCCTCCTCCAGGATGGACATGATGCCCATGGGCTGAGGGCAGGGTGAGAGGTAGAGACAGAATCACTGAACACACTCCCAGGTTCCCAGAGTCCCACACCCGGACAGACAAAAGACTCTACAGCCCAGTACTGCTGGCAGGCTAAAGGGAGCCTGTGTTGGTACCTCTTGCCCCCAGATAGGAAGCCCATCTTTCTGAAATTAACCTAAACCCAATTACATTCAAGTCTGGCCTTTTTCTGCCCCAGTGGACCCAACAAAGAGCTATGCACTCCTAATCACCCCTCAAGGCCCACAAGGCCTCACAACACAGCCCCTTCCTCCTGATGGCTCCCTGCCCCACAGATGCCAGGGCAGGGACACGTGTGTCAGAGGCACCAGACTGCAGGGGCAGGCCAGATGCCTGTCTGTATGACTCTGGTAGCAATTTTCCAAAGGATGCTTAAAAGGACCCAGATTCTACAAAATACTCTGCAGTTCAGAAAATGTGGTGGTTCTTGACTTTTCTTAGGGCAGGAATCCTCTTGAGAATTTGATGAAGCCAAAGACTGACTCTCCAGAACAACTCATGTACATGTATATACATACACATGAACAAGCCCACATGTATGTATACAAGCTTTTTTCCCCACACAGTTTTATGTGATTCTGAAGCCTCTGAAAGACGAGAACCTCGGTTAAGAATCTCTGGATAATGACTCAAAGCTTGTGTGGAAGCTCCTGTTTTCCGAAGGCGGTGGCTGGGTGCAGTGAGGGTCTGTGCTGTGTTTGCAGAGCGAAGGCATACTGAGAGCAGCTCTGCCCTGGCACAGGGGAGCCTGCCACCAGCGCCCTCGTCTCTCCTGGGAAATACCATTAGACAGGCAGGGCTGGAGACTGGCTTATTTCTCAACACACAGCAAGATGAGGGAAAGACAAACATCTCTAGTCTTAGCCTAGGATATTTCCATGAATGATGCTTCTTCTCATGGGCTGTCAAGGGGCCACGGGTCCTCTCCTTTACTACATCTCACTCTTAAGACACTGAGAGGTGACCACCATACAGGTGCAAGGTCCTGGGGAAAGAAAGAAGGGGCTTGTCTTGTGTCTGCCCATGACGTCCCTGTGAGTAGAAGCTGGGCCTGGAGAGAGGCTTGAGATTCTGGGGACTTTAGTTTCTGGGGCTGCCTCTTTGTATGGGATGTTCATGTGGGGTGTGGATGGAGACTGGTGGGGCGGAGGTGGCACCTTCTCGATGAGGTCGATGCAGGCCTGTAGGTCCATGCCGAAGTCGATGAACTCCCACTCGATGCCCTCCTTCTTGTACTCCTCCTGCTCCAGCACGAACATGTGGTGGTTGAAGAACTGCTGCAGCTTCTCGTTGGTGAAGTTGATGCAGAGCTGCTCAAAGCTGTTGAACTGCAGGGCAGTGAGGGGCGGGAGCAGTCAGGTAGGTGGGTGTCTGAGTGGCCACTGGGGTCGGCCCAGGGCTGTGCCCGTGCACTGTGCCCGAGCCCAGCTGGGGTGCAGCTGGTCCCTTCCCAGGTCAGGGCAGCAGAGGAGAGCTTCCCCTGGAGACAGGGACGATGACTGCCTCTGCCATACCGCACAGTCCCCACCGCCTTCCCGTGCTGGCCCCTGGCTGGCACTCGGCAATGGCAGTTGAAGGTGCGAATGAGTGAGTGATGTTCTGCCCACTCCCAGGGCTCCCCGACTCACGTCGAAGATCTCAAAGCCAGCGATGTCCAGGACTCCTATGAAGTACTGGCGTGGCTGCTTGGTCTCCAGGGTGGCATTGATGCGCGTCACCATCCAGTTGAACATCTTCTCGTACACGGCCTTGGCCAGTGCCCCAATGGAGTAGTACACCTGCTGCACATTCTGCCCCTTGGTGACGTACTCATTGCCCACTTTCACCCGGGGGTGGCACAGCCCCTTGAGCAGGTCGGCTGAGTTCAGCCCCATGAGGTAGGCGGACTTGTCAGCATCTGGTTGAGAGGGAAAGGAGTGAGTGAGCACTTTAATTAACCTTCCTTCCCTGCCCTGGGGTCAGAGCCTTTAGGGAGCATCAGGTCCAACCTCCTCTCTTTTAAGAGGAAGAAGTGGAGGTCTGAAAGAGCACAAGGCTTGCCCATGGTCACACAGCCAGTGTGTGCCGAGTCAGGCAGGAGCCTAGGCCCCTTGGTCTAGCCCACGGCCTCCAGCCACACTCATCTCCTCTCAGCTCTGTCTATGTCTGCTGGGTGTCTCTGCGCTAGGCCTTTCACAAGCACTGGGTCCCACAATCACTGCAGCCCTCTCCCCTCTAGGGCAGGGACGTGGCTGATGGAAGTTGGTGTCCTCTGTTCCCTGTCTCCTGTGTTCTCTGCCCCAGTATCTAGCTCCGGACTTGGTGTGCTCTGCTCTTAGTTCACATGTTGACCAATTTGATTGGCTGGGAAATCAAGGCTTCCAAAGAGTGTGTTGTTCAGCACCCATCCCCCACCCCAGCCATCCCATTGTGCCATCCAACATGTGGATTTCTCTATTTAGAAGGGATTTTTTTGGTGTAGTTTGGAGAATTTTGTGATAACTGTTGACATGCTGGGATGACATGCTGATAACTATTGACATGCTGGGATTATGAAACCCAGCTGATATTTTGATCTGGACAGACTTGGAGAAAGGTTTCGTGAAGGTGGGCCAAGAGGAATGTTCTCCAGCATCTACCTAGCACTGTTCACACCTCCACATCTCCTTCTCCAAGGATTCTCACAGCAGCCCCCAGAGGACTGAGGAGGAAACTGAGCCCAGAGGGGGTGACACACCAATGCCCTGAGCTGTGTCCTGACCCTTGGCCTGCTGCCTCCCAAACAGAACGTGGCATGAGCCTGTGAGGGGCTCACCCAAGGGCTTGGCAGGCAAACACCCCACACCAATGATGGTGATGTGCAGAGCTTGAGGCTGTGCCTCCTGGGCCTGGGGTGAGTCTTGGGCACAGGAGGAAAAATCCCAAACTCACTTGTGGTTAGTGCAGCTGAGGTGGAGAAGTCTGTGGGACTGTGGGAGGACTCCCTGTCTGTCCACTTCTCCCGTATCTCTGTCCCTCCCCACCCCTCTGCTCCACACACCTCAGGTCCTCCGGGAGCCAGCCTGGCTGGGTTCTAACTGAAGAGAAAGCCTGGGGACAGGACCACATGGGATAGAGCAGAGCCTGCCCCTGGAAAAAGCCACCACTCTCTGACCACCTGCTTCTCATATTTCTCGTGGTTTCCTTCCATTTTCTCCATTGTGGTCCAAGCAACCTTGTTGTCAACCTAATTCTGTAAGGACTGTTGAAAGCTACCACTGTAGGATGCAGCATGGGAGGCCCAGCACGATGGGCCAGCACCCCGAGCCTCTCCAGCGCTGCCCACCTGCCCCTCGCACCTTCGGTGCCATCTGGCTCCGCCTGCTCCTCCCGCTGCTTCTGCTTGAACTTCATGTTTCCGTAGTGCATGATGGCGCCCGTCAGCTTGTAGACGCTGGCTTTCTCCTCCGGAGTGAAGCCCAGCACATCAAAAGCATTCTGGAACACAGCAGAAAGCAAAGAGGGGGTTGGAACAGTGGCCTCAGCACACCCAGGGGCCTTCGTGTGGCCACAGCAGCCTCCTCACTCACATCGGTGGCCATGAGCTCCTCAGAGTCATCGATGGAAGCCACGGACACCTCTCCCTGGGACACGAAGGCATAGTCGTAGGGGTTGTTGGTGACCAGCAGCATGTCTGCACCAGGCAAGGGGCAGGGCAGGGGAAAGGGGGTGGGAAGAAGGCAGGGAAGGAGGAGACGGGGCCAGGAGAAATGAGGTGGAGAGGACAGGGTGGAGAAGAAGAAAGTCAGTGAGGACCAAGGAGAAGGCCCAAGAGAAGTGAGAGAGTGGAAGTGTGGCCCGGGAGGGAGGACTGGAGGCCCCCATGAAAAGGGAGAGGTATAGGATGGTGGGGGAATGACATGTGGGTGGTGAGGGGACACATAAAGGGAAGGTGCGTGCCAAGGGAGGAGTGGAAGGAGGAGTGGAGGAGTAACGTGCATGGGAGCTGAGAGCAGAGGCAGGTGGGGAAGGAAGGGAGAGCTGGCCCAGCTAACGAGGGAGGGAGAAGGTGGGAAGACAGAGGAAGGAGGAGAGGGAGGGAGGAGGGAGGAGGGAGGAGGGAGAGAAAGGTGTGTAAGGAGGTGGGGCAGAGTGAGGAGGGGGAGGGCCCTGCCCTGCAAACTGGGAGGCTTTAAGGAGGGCAGTGGGGAGGGCCGGCAGGCCAGGCTCACCCAGCAGCTCTGGCTTCTTGTTGGACAGGATCTGGTAGAAGATGTGGTAGTTCCTCTCAGCCTTCAGCTGGAAGATCACCCGGGACTTCTCCAGCAGATCTGAGGTGGGGGGAGTAGGGAAGGCAGGTGAGGAAGGAGAGAGAGTAGAGCCAGCAAAAGGGTAGAGATGGTGGTGGAGGGGGCTCCCACAGCACCATGGAGAGAGCCAGGGGAGAAGATGTGCTTGAAAGAAAAAGAATATGAAAGCCAAGAGGCCAATGTGGACAAAGACAGGAGATGGGGGGAAAGATGAGATAGGGACTCCCCCACGGCCCCTGTGGGTACTCACAGGTCTCTATATCTGCAGAAGCCAGCTTTCCAGTGGCTCCAAAGTGAATCCTGATGAATTTCCCCTGGGGGCAGATGGGACAGTGAGGGAAGGGACAGAATGGAAGCTTGGCCCTTGACTCAGCCCAGAATGCCCTGGATGGTTCTGGAAATGTAAACCACCTGTTTGGTGTCTCAGTTACATATCAGTGAAACAGGGAAAAAGATGTCCAGCCCCACATCCCACCCAGGATCTCTGGATGGAAGCTGGGCCAGGCTAACACACACAGAACGCTTCCTGCTTATGCCTCTCCTTGCATGCACTCCTCTCGATGATGTGCAAGTAGATATTAGCGCCGCTGTTCCACAGATAAAGAACCGGGCTCCGAGAGGTGTGGGGACATTTTTTTTTTTTTTTTTTTGAGACAGAGTCTCACTGTGTTGCCCAGGCTAGAGTGAGTGCCGTGGCATCAGCCTAGCTCACAGCAACCTCAAACTCCTGGGCTCAAGCGATCCTTCTGCCTCAGCCTCCCAAGTAGCTGGGACTACAGGCATGCGCCACCATACCCGGCTAATTTTTTCTCTCTATATATATTTTTAGTTGTCCAGATAATTTCTTTCTATTTTTAGTAGAGATGGGGTCTCGCTCTTGCTCAGGCTGGTCTCAAACTCCTGACCTTGAGTGATCCATCCGCCTTGGCCTCCCAGAGTGCTAGGATTACAGGTGTGAGCCACCATGCCCGGCCCTGTGGGGACTTTCTGAGCAAGTGGAAATTAGGCCTTTGGCTCCAGAGCCTATGCTCTCTTCCCACTTCCAATGTGCAAGAGCTTTGGAAATACTCATAAGAAAAATCTAAACTAGGACCCAAATCAGCTGTTACTTGGCTGTGGAACAGCTGCGGTGACTCTGGGTCTCTTTCCTGGGGTTCCCAGAACTCAGGGAGCCAGGCTGTGTTGGGAGAGTTTGGAATGTGAGTGTGAGAGTGTGTGTGTGTGTGTGTGTGTGCACGCATGCGCATACACATTTGTTGATATTCCAGAACCAGATACAGTGCAATCAACTGGACACAGCAGAACAGCACTCCCTTTTCCTGCCAAGGCTGGATGAGGCCAGTGGGCAGTGCAGAGGCACTCACAAAACGGGAGGAGTTGTCGTTCCGGACGGTCTTGGCATTGCCGAAGGCCTCCAGAGCGGGGTTGGCTTGGATGATCTGGTCCTCCAGGGTGCCCTGCAAAGGGATCAGAGCAGGGGAGGTCACCTCTGTCCACCTCCAGGTGGTGGTGGGATGGCAAGGAGGCTGCTTTGGCCCTGGGGCTGGGGCTGGGGCTGGACGAACTACTGGTGGGTCTATGGCTCTAAAGGCCACACACAGGCCTCAGAGTGTGTGTCTCGTGTCAGGACCGTCTTCCACACTGGGCTGCCCCTCGGGAGCCCTGTGTCCCCACTGCTCCACCAAGGAGGACAGAGTCAGGGTAACCTGGGTTAGCCTGTCCACCACCCTCCCCACCGCTGTGGAGCCTGAGGCACCTTGTTCGCATTGACGTTGTCCTTCTTGCCACGGTCTCCTATGGCCGCAATGCTGGCAAAGTACTGGATGACACGCTTGGTGTTCACAGTCTTCCCTGCCCCGGATTCTCCGCTGGGGGCCACAGGGACCGATCAGAACTCAGGGTTCCTTCTGGTCTCTACATAAAGCTCAGCACTGCACGCTCCCCTTCCCAGGCCCGGCCGTCAGAGCCCAACACCCGACAGGATTTGCCTGTCCCCATTCGCCGCTCTGGCACTCCTCTAATGAGAGCCCTGCACCTCTCCTCCCCGCCTGCACCCCAGGTATCAGCCTGGGTGCCCCCAGCCCAAGCCCCTCTGTGCGTGGTGGGCTCTCGCTCACGTGATGAGGATGGACTGGTTCTCCCGATCTGGAAGGGAAAAGCGGAGAGGTGATGGGTCAGGGCTGAGGAGCTGGTGGGTGTTGGGTTGAGAGGCACAGGTCAGGGGCCACTGGGCTCACCGGTCAGCATGTACTGATAAGCGTTGTCAGAGATGGAGAAGATGTGGGGTGGGGCCTCACTCCTCTTCTTGCCCCTGTAGGCAGCCACCACCTCGGCGTTGTACACCGGCAGCCACTTGTAGGGATTGACGGTGACGCAGAACAGGCCCGAGTAGGTCTGGAGGAGAAGACAAGAAGGTTGGTGGGGAGAGCCGAGGGTGGGCAGTGGTGGCAGGTAGGGGCATCCCTGGTCACTCTAGCTGGCTCTTCCCTTTCTGCAGCTGACCAGGGGCGAGGAGACAGGAGAGGGGATCTGGGTCCCTTGGGAGCCTGCCTACCCCCCTCTCCTTGGGAGAGTGCCCCTGGACTACTTTGGCCTCCATCCAGGACAGGGAGTCCCTGCTGTGTGCAGGAGCCACTCACGTAGATCATCCAGGCCGCGTAGCGCTCCTTGAGGTTGTAGAGCACCGCGGGCTCGTGCAGGAAGGTCAGCATGGCCATGTCCTCGATCTTGTCGAACTTGGGCGGGTTCTGCTGCAACACCTCGTCCTCCTTCACGGTCACCGTCTAAAGAGTGCGTGTGGGCAGTAGGATGGGGAGGAGACTCCTACCTTGACCCTTGCAAGCTGCACTTGCCAGCCTTGCCCACTGACCTCCTCCCAGGCCACACACTGTGACTTGGCCTTGCTCCCCTACTCTTCCCTGTCCAGTGCCCCAGCCCCACCCCATAGCTCCCCCAGGACACTCTCCCTAGATAATTCGCCTGACCACCGTCACTCCCATCCTAGAGACTGTCCTAGGTCCCTTTGTCTTGTCAGGTTCCCAGACCCTGTGCCCGTGATCATCACCCTTCATCCCTGTGTTTCAAGTGTCCAAGGACAGACCTGGGGACCAGCAGCTTCCAGAGCTGTGCACACACACCTTATGCTATCTCTTGGGGGCAGTGCCCCAGGATGTCAATTGCTCAGGACAAACCTTCACTCCTACTGCAAAAGTAGCTCACCCATCTACCCTACACTCCCTATCGGCCGCTGTTATGGGGTTTGATTGGCATGGGTCAGTGTGCTGTGCCCTGAACTCATTAGACCCTGCCAGCAGGCATCCTAGCCTTTTTAATGGTGGAGGAAGCTGTGGGTCTAAATGACTGAATGAGTTGCCCGCACGCTGACTAGCTGGTGGCAGCGCTGGGGTCAGAGTCAAAGCCCCAGTGGGTCGTGTGGTCTGTGAGGCACACAGCTCTGAGCTGCTGGTGACCAGTGGCAATTCTCAGGGCTGACATGAGGGAGCCAGGGACCAGGGGCTCCTGAGTGCTTCACCAGCCCTGGGACTGGGCACTGAGCTCCAACATTCCTGCCCTTGGTGTTCATCTGGGCATAAGAGTTTGCTCTTGGTTTGGGTGAAGGGAATTTGTGCGAGCGGACCCCTGGAGGAAACTGAGGCACAGAGAGGAGGGATACAGTGCAAGAAGGGGAGTTTCATTTAATGCGTGTCTGTGCCCTCTTTATCAACAGGACTCCTCTGAGGAGGAAAACAGCTGAGGTCCTTCTCCCTCAGCATCCCTGGGTGGCACCTGTTGCGCCTGCTCAGGTCCATCTGAGAAGGAGCAGGTCCTGGGCTCCTCAAGGGAGCCCGTCCTGGCCTTCCCAGTGGCCTGGGCTCTTCTCCAGGCCTCTCAGCTCCCACTGCAGGTGGCCCCTCCCCAAACCTCCCCCCAAACCTTCCCTCGTCCTGCCCTGGCACTGTGCCCTACGCACCTTGCCATTTTCGGTTTCAGCAGTGACCTTGCCCCCCTCCCGGGACACAATCTTGGCTCTGACAAACTCTTCCTTGTCATCCGGCACGAAGCACTCAGTGCGGATGTCAAAGGGCCGGGTCTGGGCCTCCAGACGCTCCTTCTCTGACTTGCGGAGGTACTGGGCTGCCACCCCAAAGTCAGCCATCTGGGCGTCGGTCATCTTGTCGCTCCTCTGGGATAGAGACAGGAGGGCTCTGTCACTGCTGAGGTGGGCCCAGGCTCTGCATCCCCACTCCCTGTCCTCCTCCTCCCCACAGGTCCTATGGCTGTCCTCCCACCACCCTGCAGGAGGCACCAGCCTGGGTGCATTCTCCCACACTGGGGTTCTGCTTCCCCTGCCCCTGGGGCGATGCTGAAGGAGGATCTCTGTGGGGGCTTTGCAGGTGGCCATGGCTGGGGGTTGCTAAGGGGAGGCACTCAGTGCTCAGGGGAGGGACAGCAGCCTCTGGTCTAGCAACCTGACTCCCAGGAGAAGCATGCCCTGCCTTCTGCAGAGAAAGCTGGGGTGATTCTCACCTGGTTATCTCCTCACAGAGAATCCTGAAGAATCTGGACCAGAGGTGGAGCAAGGAGCCCCAGAGGCGCAGCCTGGGGGAATAGACAGGGGCATGGAGAACAACAAGGCTGTGCCCAGAGGGCCACAGGCAGGACAGACCACAGCAGGGGGTCAGGGAGAGACAAAGAGAGGCAGAAAAGCAAGGGTGCCGGGTTAGCAGAAGGATGAGGCATGGGGTGTGGAAACAGAAGCAGAGAGAGGCAGGGAGATTAGAACACACAACCAAGAGGGGAGGGCCAGGGAGAGAGACAGACAAAGCAGCATCAGAGGATAGGTATTGACAAAGACCAAGAGGTAAAATAAAGCCGGGACAAAGGGAAGGCAGCCATCGAAAGGAGGGAGAGGACGGAGACAGCATGTAGAAGACAAAAAATGGTGCAGGGAAAGAAACGGAGAGTCAAAGAAGAAAAGAGATTTCTGGTGTTCCCCATTGGCACCTCCCTCTGTCGGTGGGAATGTCCCCAGGACCAGAGAAAGGCAGTTCTAGCAGGACTGTTGGGCCTCCAACCGAGCTGGACCCCACTCTCAGTGAAGGCTGGGTTCCTCGAGGTGTGGCTCTGCAGACTGCCACAGAGCATCCCCCCTAAAGACCCTCTTACCTGGGTCGGAGCAGCCTCTGTCTGTCCCCAAAGCTCCAGCTCCTTTATACCCCACTTCCCGCATGCTCTGCCTAAATTTGGAGTCCTTCCGGAGGGACCCTCCCTCCCACCTCTCTCCCCTCCTGGCTCCTCCCCCCTTGATCCCTTGGCTCTGGAGGTGACAGGAGGAGAGCAGGGCCCCCAGATTTGCCCATGAAAGGTCTGTCGTCCCAGCCTCTCTGGCTCCAGGGCCTTTTTTTAGTCCTTGGGCACATTCCTCCCCTCCAAAGGGCTGATGCACAGATAGTGGGAAGACAGAACCTTCTCACTCCACCTCCCCCATCCCACCATGGCCCTTACCTCAGTTATTTTTAACCTGAAGGGTGAGTTGAGCACATGGGGGTGAGGGTCACCTTCTCCTGCAGGCCAAATGCCTGTCCCCTGCCTCCCAACCATGGGCTCCCCTTCCCTGTTCCCTGCCCTCTCCCTTCTACCCTGACCTGTCCTCACACAGCCCCGGGCTGAGAATATCTCCCTACACTCTCGGACCTGCAGTCTGACGGTGTGTGGGACAGGGAGCTGGAGCCAGGTTGCCCAGAGAGGGGATCTATTGTCCAGCTCTGTGACTCAGTTTCCCTTTGTCAGGAAAAGAACTTCAGTCCTGCTCTCAGTCTGCATAAGTGCCAAGCCTGGTGTCCTATTCCCTGTCTCCAGGCAGGTGTCCTCCCAAGGACTTGAGGCTACTCCGGTTTGGGGACACATTTGGAGCCCCCATCCTTTCCCCAATGCTCCTGAAACAGTGGTGGTCATCCAACTCCCTCAAACAATGGAAGGGATTCTCCCACACCACCTCAGCTCAGCACCCTCACATACACACTTGACCGGCCCATGTCCGTGCCCATTTTCAACCACACACATGCAGGCTTTTCACACTTACGCACTTGAGCTCGTAGATTTCCCCTACTTGCTTTTACGTACGCTGATTCACCTGCACATTTGCAAACCCACATTTGCACACATGGGCTTTTACCCTCTGCTGCCACCTTCAGCTCCTGGTGTGGGATGGGGGTGGACAGAGGCAGAAGGTGTTAATCCTGGGGCCTGAGGGAGGAGGGTGGAGGTGGGGGGCTGCTCCCTTCTGTCTCTCCAGGCTGCCAGAGGGTGCAGGTGCTGCTGAGGATGGCTGGGGTGCCTGGCAGGCCTGGGGATTTACACCAGCTGGGCCCCGGGCTCCACATTCCATGGGGGTGGGGGTGGGGCTCTGCAGTCTTCCCCCCTCCCCAGGTAGAACTCTGTGCCCCTCCCTACCCTCCTGGGTTCATACTCACATGCCCTTCTTTGTGGGTGTCCTCAAGCGCCCCAGGCCCTCAGGGCACCCTCCCATCCTACAGTGCTGCCTCCTCTCAGAGGCCGTAGGTGTCAGGTCTTCAGCAGGCCGTGCCTGTTATGACTAAGTGGACATTGTGTTCAGGAAACAAAGCCAGGCTCCCCTGCTCTGGCTCTCCCCGACACCCTCACACCCAGGAACATTCTCCCGGCTCCCCCTCCCACCCCATCTACTGTCACCTCTCAATATAGCTCTAGGGTGTGGAGGTGGGCAGGATGGCAGGGGTCAGCTTCTCTGGGAAGGAGCACTTTCCACCAAAGATGTGGCTTCCCCCTCAAGGTCCCCAGCTCCCCGGGACACTCCACTGCCCCGTTACTGGGCTCAGGAACACTCATCTCTCTCCAGGGTACTTGTGCCCTCTAGTCAGTGTCCTTGGTGAGGCCTGAGTCAACCCCACATCCCCATCTCCTACAAGCGCTTATGCCAAGTTGTTGCCCCCAAGGGATGCAGGCCACCTGTCCCCAGCTCCAGGTCACTTGAGGCCTGAGTGCAAGCTGGGGGGTTAGCCCATGGCTCAGTGCGTCATTGCTTGGTTCCCATCACCCTGGGGACTTGACAAGGGCTGAGAACAACAGGTCAGTCTGGGTCAGGTCCAGGTGACAAAGACCAGACTTTGTCCTCAGGGAACTCTGTGCTCTGAGCAGGCCAGACTTGGTATAGGTGGCGGTGGAGGGGGGAGTGGGTGGGTGGAGGGTGAGGGGTGGGTGGGCAGTTCCCTGTCTCCTAGGGAAGGAGGAGGAAGGAAGGGGTTAGCTTGGTCCCAGGCCCTGCCCTGTCTGTCTGCTTTGCCCTCCTCTTGCTTCCCTGGGCCCCTTCTCTCGCCTGGCACTCACATACTGCTCTCCGTCCTCCTCCAGCTGCCTCCTAAACAGCTCCTCATTCTGCTGCAAGTCCTAAGACGTGAGGGCACGGATGGAGGGGCCGGGCACAGGTGAGGCCGGGGAGGCAGGGCTGGCCTCCTCAGCACAGCCGCCTCTCTCCTGCCGTCCACCCAGGTCTCGCCCATGTCTGCTCCTGACTCTCCTTTCTCTGCCCATTCCCTGTCTTGAAGTCGGACCTGCCTCTGATTCTCCCCGCCCAGGTCTCTGCCCATCTCGGGGTCTGTCGCATGGCTCTGCCTTCTCCACACCGCCTCTTCTTGTCCTCCGCCTGGCTCTTCTCTGCCTCCACACCTAGCTCCCGGCTCTTCGTCCACCCCTCTCCAGCCTCCTGCTCCGTGGCTTTCCTGGCCCTCCTTGCGTCTGAAGGCGACTGGGATTCTTTCCTTCGCCCAGGACCCCTCAGCTCCTCCAGCCTCTCCGTCCCAGGTGCCCTCTCGTTTCCTCCTCTCCCCAGCCCTGCTAGCACCCTCTCCTCCCTGGGCTCGGCTCTCCAGGCCTCTCTGCTGTCTGCATCCAGGCCCTGGCCCTTCTCTCGGGGGACCTTCTTGTTTTGGTTGCTTGGATGCCCTGGGGCTCTCCTTGCATCTCCCTTTTCAAATGTGTTCTCTCCTTTTTCTATTTATCTCTTCAATGCTCTCCAAGTCTGCTCCTAGGAAAAGGAATCGTCTTAGGGAGGGAGAATGGAGCGGGTGCAAGGAGAACCGCAGGAGGGCCCGTGGATCTTTCTGGGGCCTACTTATTTCCTGTATCTTTTCTCCTTGTCTGTTTTCTCTGGTCGTCCTGTCCCCTGGTTTCTCGATCTCTCTCTCCACTGCCACTGCCCCCCAGGTTTTTCCTTTTTCCTTCCCTATTCCCTTCCCCTCCTCCCCCTCACTTGCTATTCTCCAGTCGTGGTATCCCCTCCTTCCTGGCACAGCCCTTGCTCTGCCTGCTGCATTCAGAGCTCGGAGCAGGAGCTGGGCTCCGAGTGGGGCTGTGTGGTGGGCTGGCGGCAGATCCAGTCCAGGGCTGAACCAGGGCTTGCCAGCTTCCACTGCCTCCCAAGCCCCTGCCCTCTACAGTCCACAGTCCCAGGCCTGCCCTAAGCAGCCCAGCCATGGCGGCAACTCCAAGGGGCTAGGCTTGCTTTATTGGAGGGGGCTTGCTCCTTCCTCTACCTCCCAGCTCTCCAGGGACCTGTCCCCTCCCCTTCTCTCCCCAGAGTCCTGCTCGCATATGACCTCCCCCAGTCTCTCATCTGTCTGCCCTCCATCAAGATGGCTTCCCATAAATGGACCGAGAGAACCCCGTCTTAGCAAGCCCAGAGGAGAAAGCTCTTGGTCATGGAAATTGCAGTGGGAAGAAGTGAGGGAGAAGGGGGCCCTCTGGACTGAGCAGGCTGGGCCCCGGGAGATGAGGAAGACAGGAAGGTGGGCTGAGGATGCATTTCTTCCGGCTGTGATGGGAGGGGGTGCGCTGGCCTCTGGGGTGGCTGTATCTGAAAGAGTGTGTGGGTTACAGCTGTGAGTCCTTGTGTCCTCTCAGAGACTTGCCCGGGACTGGGCTTAGGGTGCTATTACCTCACCTGCCCAGTGGGTCACACCTCTAGGGCCCAGAAGGGGCACTGCTCAGTACGCCCTGACCCTCGTCCCCATGGCCCAGCTCCTGTGTTATCAGCAGTGAGGGGGTAGTGTTGATCAGAGCTGGGGTGTACATCCATAGTAGATGGGCTCAAGGTGGGCTAGGTGAGGCTTAGGGGTTTCCCTAAATCTCCTTTAA